AACTATTCCATTGTATGACATGAATAGTTTATGATGTGTCAATAAAACTGTTGGGGACAAAAAAAATAAAGAGTAGAAGCTTTAAAAAAACATAACATACATAGAACTCACTATGGCATGTTGAGGGTTTTGTATTCATCAACTCTCTTAAATACATAACAAATGCTTTTGACGTATTCTTATCACTATTTTACAGACAGACAGACAATGGAGGCTCTGAGACTTCCATAGCTTGCTTGCAGTCAGTCCGAGGGGTTCATAGTGGAGTCCGGAGTGGAACAGGAATGATCTGGCTCCAGCATTCTGTTCTGGTATCACCGACCACATGCCTGTCTTAGAGCACGTCTGCCAGGAACCCTCCTAGGCTACCATGCCGGTATCTTGGAGGCATGGGCCTTACGGCACTTGCTGCCTTCCAAATCTGCAATCAGAGCAGAGTCTGAGCTGGTGCTAACAAGAAACCAGCCGGGGGCTTATGGAAGAAATACTCCTCAGACCACCATAGCACAAAATGAAGAATTCCGCATGTCTTCTGATAATTAAGATGAATATGATTCAAGAGTCTTGCAGATTGCCTCTGCACCAAAGCTTGTGCTTGGTCTCTAGTCCAGGCTTATTGTGTGATGATCTTGACAAAAATTTAATGTCTTGACACCTTTGAACCCATAATATAAAAAGGTTGGATGAAAGGGGTCAGGCGCAGGAAAGGAGGGATAACAAAGGACACACAAGAGAGAGAGGCAATCTCTTTCTCTAGAAATGTGTATCCAGCGTTGAAGATCAAGGAACGTTAGAGACTTAGGAAACAAATTAAGCCAAGCAATGGAGATTGGGGTGTATTAATCAGGGCCATCGCAAGGAAGAGATGAAGCATTAAAAAGAAGCAGGTAAATAAATAAACAGCTACCACCCATTCAATTCTGACTCATTGCAACCTTATGTACAAAAGAACAAAACGTTGCCTGGCCCTGCATCATCCTCTCAATCATCAGCATGCTCAAGTCCACTATTGTGACCACGGTGCCCATCAATCTCATGCAGGGTCTCCCTCTCCCTCCGTGGTCCTCTGAGCCACAGAACATGTCTTCCTTCTGATAATGCTTCCAAACAAGCAAGTCAGACAATGTTCTATTGTGATCATAAGTTTTTGCTGGTTGAGTTTTGGAAGCAGATCACGTGTTCCTTCTTAATCTGTATCAGTCTGGAAGCTCCGCTGAAACTTGTCCATCATGAAATACCAGTTGCATAGATATCACCCAGCATCACAGCGCCCTGCAAAGCACCACCCTACAACAAAATGACAAATAGATGGTGATGGAAAGAGGGAAAAGGAGTTCATGAAGGACTGCCTACAATTAGGAGAAGCCAGTCCCTGGAGAAGGACATCATGTTTGGTAAAGTGAAGGGGAAGAGCGAAAAAGGAAGACCCTCTGGGAGACGGATTGACACAGTGGCTGCCTCCATGGCCTCAGGCACAGGAGCCATGGTGAGGATGTTTCGGGGCTCTGCAGTGTTCCATTCTGTTGTGCATAGGGTTGCTAGTTTGGAGCCAACTCAATAGATAGCACCTAACAACAATGCCAACAATTAGAAGTCTAGGGATGGTGTAAAAAGAGCCCTGGTGAACTAGTTAACTGCTCAACTGATAACTGAGAGACCACCAGTTAAACCCACCAGTTGTTCTGTAGTCGAAATATGTGGCAATCTGTGCCTATAAGGATTACAAATTTAGTAATCCTATGGATAAGTCCCACTCCCCCTTATAAAGTAATGATATATTAGAATCGACTTGACAGAAAGGGGTTTGGTTTGGTTGGGTTGGGGTTTGTGTTTGTTTGTTTCAGGATTTGTTTGTTTTGCTCCTCGAAATAGTTAGTGCACTCAGTTAAAAGTTAGAGGTTTGAATCTACCCAGAGCCCCCTCAATATAAAAGCCTGGAGGTGTACTTGTGAAAAATCAATCAACCATTGAAAATCCACGGGGACGTGGGTCTACTCTGACCTACAGGAAGTCACTTTGATCAGGATCAACTCAGTGTCAACTAAAGTTTTGTTTTTATTTATAATTAACCAACAAGAGTTGGTGACGTAACCTGTCATTTTTTAGCCTTCGCCCATCTTCCCCAAAACAACAAGAAAATGCTGCCTGCTGTAGACCTAAAGGGGCCAGGCAAAGAGCTGGATTTGGAACCAGCTGAAACAGCGGTGGTGGCTGCAGGTCTAAAAGAGAAGCCACCTACAGGAGAGGAGGCCCTTGGTCGAGAAATGAGGTCAGAAAAGGAGCTGTTGTCTCGACTGAAATAAAGTGAAAACTTGACGGAAGACAGGCCTGAAAAATTACCCTTTCATTTCAAGTCTTCCAAAAGTAACTTTTAAGATTCTCTTCATTGTCTGTCCATAGACTTGTTCATTCTTATACTAATGGGAATCCATTGATTATCTCATTATCAATGGTTCCCAAATCTAGCTATTTATCAGATGTTATCAAACAATTTAACACTAGAAAATTCTGGCTTCCTCCACAGACCTACTAAGTCAGGAACGCTAGATACAGAGCCCAGATATTTGTGATTTTAAGGATTTCCCCAGAGGGGTAAGAGAAAGAGTTGAGATGGAGCTAGAATTGAGACTTCAAGGGTTAAATGATCTAGAAGCAATATCTATTGTGCTCTAGGCATGCTCTCAATGGTTTATGTATCTCAGCCCATTTGATCCTCACACTGAGATGGAAGACAGGCCCCTCTTTATAACCTCCATTACTCAGAAGAGGACGCATGGGCACAGAGAAATTACATAACTAACTTGAGGCCACAGAGGTAGCAAATGACAGGGTTGTGGTAGGAATCCAGGCAATCGGGCTCTGGGGTCTGGGCTCATCTGCTTCTCACTGATGAAGCACCTTCCTAAGGAAACCAAATGTGGGAATCAAATGTAGAAAAGCCTGAATTTGAGAATCATTAATAGTCCTTTCACAGTGATTCATGCTTAAACACTTGCTTGTTTCACAAAGAATGAGCTGGATTCTAAATCCTGGTATAATCGATGCACTTAAAATACATGCCACATGGACCTAGTGATAAGCAAGTGGGAAACATTTTATGAATAAAGTAAAAGTGTGCTAGGATTTTGGTTCACAAAATGCATGCAACATTTCCCCACTCCGGTAAGTGACATATATCTAAAGATCCGAATGGTCTCTGGTCCCCAGGAGAACTAAAGTGGAGGAAAATGAGGGCGGTGGGGGTGGGGGTGGGGTGCGGCAAGCAAAGATAGGAGGAGGTAACCCCCCCCAAAAAAAATGATGTTCTTTTTTTATGTGAAGGGGATAGTTCATTTGGAGTTCATTTCATCAGGTCAGACTGTTCATCAAGCTTTCTATTTAGACTCTAATGCCTAATGCCACGACCCTTTAACACAGTTCCTCATGTTGTAGTGACCCCCAACCATAAAATTATTTTCATTGTTACTTCATAACTGTGATTTTGCTACTGTTATGAATTGGGTGACTCCTGTGAAAGGGTCGTTCGATCCCCAGCGGGGTCGTGACCCACAGGTTGAGAACTGCTGATTTAGAGGTTCTGAATCTATTATACAACAGTGTGCGGCATAAAAAGGCCTGATTTGTGGCAGACGGGACTGGTTTTACCACCATAACTATGCACCTGCTCACACAGCCATCTCATGCTCCAGTTTTTGGGAAAAACAGCATGCCTCCCTTGCTCCATGCACCTGGCTCTCATGCTCCATGACACTTCTTTTTGTTTCCACAAATGCAGAGGGACATGAAAGGACAGTGATTTGGTAAAGAGGTGGAAAAAAAAACAAGGGAGGTGCTGTCAGCCATCCAAACAGATGAATTTGACAAAATGTTTCAAAGAATGGAATTACATATTTAACAAATGTATTAAGTGTAATGGAGAGTACTTTGAAGGTGATAAGTTTGTTTTGTAAAAAAATTTAAATCCATAGCTTTGAAAAAAATACCACTTTGGGGGTTACCCCTCATATTTCTTATGGACACCTTCTAACTTATTACACTGGCTTCTTTTTCATGAGTCTTTTTCTTAGATCAACGAAAAGAGCCCTAACCTTTGGTCAGAGAGCCAGTTGTGTTACTAGACCACCTGTCCAAGTTAAGGTGCTTTCCCTGCTCAGTAGCAATAGCAAAGCAGAGTCGGTCTTGTCACACAAACTTAGTAATGTATTAAAAGGAAAAGCCTCTTACAAGGAGGAGACATCAAACTAAGACTCACTGCCATCAGTCCCTTTCTGACGCACAGTCACCCAATAGGACAAAGTAGAACGGCCCCGGGGGGTTCTGAGACTGAAACTCTTTATGGGAATAGAAGGCTTCACTTCCTCCTGCTGAGTGGCTGGGGGTTTGGAACTGCTGGCCTGCAGGTAACAGCCCAACCCATAACCAGCACACCACCAGGACAGACACCCCCCCAAAACAAAGGAAGAGAGCAGATTTTTAAAAGAATTTTGGCGACAATCAAAAGGAGATAAGGAATTACGAGAAGGAGGCACCCAGTGCCGCAGGATCTTCCTGTCCGAGCTCCCTCCCTCCATGTTCTCCTTTATCGCAGGTTGTGAGTAGTCAAATTGCGCATGCGCTTGGGACCGATTTCCTCCTTGAGTGCCTCTGCTTGACAAAATGAACTGGATGGAGCGCCAGTTATCTTACAGAGAAGTAACAGTTTGAAACACTCCAAGCTTAAGCCATCTCACGACATAGGCATGTGGTATGGGGTTAAGGTATGCTGGTTTGGGACAGCCTCTGCCAATGTCAATTTATGCCAGCATGGAGAAATAGGCATATTCAACCTCTCCCCTACCTATTCTGTCTCATTTTGGGCCCCCAACGGACTTGCATTTCTCACATTATGATCTTGACCTGTTTTTTTTGAGTTCCTTATTCTATTTTTCTTTACAGGCTCCTAACAGTGCTGTTACAACAGTCCAACCTCAGTGAGATTAATCACCAGGACAATGAGGTGAGTCTACCCTGCCAGACAATAGTTGTAAAGACAATTAGGCGCTCTTAAATAAAGTTCTTAAGAAAGGATGGGCCAGACAGTAAGTAGAGCTACCCAAGAGAAGCTTAGGGCATTGCTATTATATATTTACTGCTTTTAAAAAGCAATACATCCATACCACACTTAGAAACATGGTGAGGTTCCAAAAATCAGGTCATTATGTGAAAACTAGCATTAGGCAAAATATGGAGAGGGACCACAGCAGATCACAAAATTAAGGGTAAATGCATCATGGCATAACTGCCAAATTACATCACTTCCTGCCAATCCACTAAAAATAATAAACTTAACACATAAACTTAACCATCATAGGCAGCATTACTTTCACCTTGTACCCCAGTGTTTATTACTGCTGGTCATACATCATTCATGAGCAAAATAGAAGTTTTACTTTTATCATAAATTTGCAATGCTGAATAATAAGATAGTCGTTGAATGAGGAGTAGGTATACTGATTTTCCTTACCAGCCTGATTTATTTAACAGCTTTAAAAAACTTACTTAAATAGCCATTTTTATAGAATTCTTCATAAATGCAGTCTGTGCTTGATTGGGTTGTATTTCACTATAAATGATTAATAACATTAAGAAAGTCTGAAAATACTTAAAATGCATATGGTCAAATATGCCAAATCCTACAATTTGCAAGAAATCCAGTTGCACATAGGTAACAAGGTAAGCTAGACGCTCTCATAGCTTTCTCCTGGCCTGGGCTCCTCCTCTTTCTTGGTCCTCCTGAAGAAAGGTCACCTTCTTCCATTGCCTGGTGTGTCATTAACAGCCTCACAAGCTGGACCTGAGGTTAGACGGACTTGATGACCACATGCTGCTTTCACCCCCCATGTCTTCAGTGGCTCAAAGCAGTCCTCCAGAAGAGAGAAGATTGCACTTAAAAAAAAAAAAAACAACCTTCTGCCTTAAAAATGAGAACCAGAGAAGTGGTAGCACACGCTGGCCACTCTGTTCATGCAAGGAACTTGTGTGGTGGTAACATATGTCAGCATATTGTGAAATTCTCCACTTTTGGTGAAGGGCCAACTACTTCCTCCACCTTCAACCCTGTCCTCGCCAAGCTCATCCCCACGCCTAGATCAGGTTTTATTGGACAGGTGAAAAATCCGCCACTTATAATCCAAAACTGAATTCTGCTTATAGATATCCAAAACAATCTGCCCCTTAGCTCGTCAACATAGTTAGTTCCCTATTTTCCACCAGGCAGAAAGGCCCCTGACTGTTTGAGACAATGAAAGTAGACAGATTTTTTTTTTCAAACAGTGATAACAATAGCATTTTTCAGATAACGAGGTAACTATTGGGAGAACCCTTAGTTTCTTCTCATGCAAAAGTGATCTCCCCAAAAAGATTCCTGCTTCTGCGACATCAGCATTCTCTTAAGTTGGATTTTAAGTTCAAAGAACAGGCCCAGATTCCTAATAAAACGATTAAAAAATAAAAAAATAAAAAAAAGAGCAGGCCCAGAAGAACAAGAGCTCTCAAAACATAAATGTCCTTCTTGATATTGTTGTTTTCTCTGGCTTATATCAGAGAACGTCTGAAGCCCGTTAGAAACTGAGTAAATGGTGTGGAGACCGTGTCTGATCTCGTCCAGCTACACAAGGGAGAAGCGAAACCCACCCCTTGCCCAAGGATGGCTTCTGTGAGGCAGAGATCAGCCACCCTCCACCATCCATCCTTCTTTATCTTATTCCGATGCCAACCATCCCTTCCACAGCACTCACCAGCTCCATGGCGTGGCAGTGGCCACACAGAGCTCACAGAAAAGACTCATGACTATGGGGTCCACTAGGGAATGTAACAGGTTACAAAATGTTAAGAATAGCGTTTGCAGATGGCAGGCTCGTCTCTCTGATCCTTGAGTTCAGCCACCTGGCCCTTGGCCTCTGCCCTGTGTACACAAGTGTGACATAGCTCCTTTACATGGATAAAGGTCCAAAAAGCACCCATCTCTGCAAATCAGCTTCCTCCCCCAAGGCACTCAGGTCTACTCATTCTGGGGGCCAAGAAGCCCCCAGAGGTGCTCCACAGTCAGCTGCTACTCCTTTACTCTGTCCCCTGGTCACGGGGCTGCTTTTTTGCCACCTCTCCATACTGGGATCTTGGATGTACTTGACTTCTTGCATTTCTTGCTGGTGGTCATGAGAGTCTCTGATCCTGCTTCTGAGATGGTTCAGTTTATACCCAGCAGAAGGGCAAAACTGACCAATTCCAGCCAGTCATTTGGTAGGAGTTACAAAGATTATGGCTAGAAGAACCATACCAAATCATTCCATTCCACTGCAGAAGCCAACTGCTAGTGTTTGACAGTGTTTTTCATCCAATGTACACAGTTTGTATTGCTATGATAATTCTAGTTCTAGGTAAGGAAGTGAAGGGAGCTGATGGTGCTGGGTCCTGAGGAGAATTTACATTGTCTTGCAATACAGATACCTCAAGGAAGACGATTACAGATTCCTCGGGCAAGGCAGAGTTAACCTTCTCAGACAGGGATGAAAGGGCTGCTTATGATGGCAAACATGAGTCCGCAGAATTCATAGGCTCCATGCTTTCAGCTTCAACAGTATCCTCCTGTATAGCCCATTCCAGTTTTCAAGATCGTATCCTTCCCGGTTCAATGCGCCCACTTTAGCACTAGACACCTGTGAGGTTGTGGATTCAATGTGCAGTGTAATTCGGGCATTTATAAGATGAATCAGACTCTAGGTTTCATTTTCAGTAATCTTTTCTCTGTTGCTACAAAACATGAAGTTTTCTTTTGTGTAACACACATTTAAAATATATGTGTTAAGTCAGTTCTGTGACACTTAAGCTGGGAGTTTAAGACACTAAGTTCATCCTTTTCTTTCCCACGTAGTCCAGAAAGATTAGGGGCAACCAACCAGCCAATGTCATCATACTCATCAGTTTGACAAAGAAAGTCCTAAAGTATCAAATACATGGTTACCCAGTCCAGTAAGCATTTGATTAATTTTGCATATCTCTATTGCCACAACACACAATGGACTATCAAGGCA